ATTAAACAATATTGGTAATTGGTGTAATTGTATTATTAACAGCTTCTCCTGTTCTTAGTGTGTTGTTAATATAATTCCTTGCTAAGTCTAGTTGGTTTTGATTATATTGTCGATATCTCGTGAATGCTGTTACTGCAATTATTAATATGATAAGTATAATTGTTACTATATCTTGGTCAATTACATTTGGGTTGTTAAAATAACTTGGTGCTTCAGTTAAGGTCGATACTGAAGTTTGGATAATTGTTAAGGGTGTTAGTGTAGTGTTTTGTATTAAAGTTACTGTTAGTATGGTAAGTGTTATAAATATAAATTGTTGTTGTCCTGCAACTAATATTACTAATGATAGTAATAGGATGAATATTTTCATTTGTTATTGTCCAAATAGTTTGTTGACTTCTCTGGTATTTCTTCCAAATTGGTAGTTTTCAATGTAATTATTAATATTGCTTTGTTGTTGTATTGGCAAATTTGCTATTTGTTGTGATATTAGATTATATAAGTTGTTTTGGTTAACAAATTCTGGGTTAAAATATGTTATTTGTTTTCTTGAATTTTTCCTTTTTCTTCGTCGTATACACATTAATAGTTTAATAGTGATAGTTGTGATCCTGATGGTATCTGTATAGTATTTTGGTATTGGTCAAAGTTGCCAATATTAGTGGTGGTTCCAAGTTGGTTATTTCAAGGTATGTTTCCTTGTCGGTTGTTTCTTTTCCGTTTATGACAAGTAAAGTATAATATAGTTGATATAATTAGAGATACTAATAGTAGTACTCCAATGATTATTACAATAATATAAATTGTAGTTGTGGTATCAGGTTGTATTGATGTTTCGGTAGATGTAGTTGACATTAATTTTAACAACAGCAGCCTTGGTTTTGGTCTGCGTAATATTCAAGTGATGATGTCTGTTTATATAATCTTTTCTTATCTTGTTATTGTTTATAGCAAATGATTACAATAGTTAATATCCAGATTACAATAGTAAATAGTAATATTATAAGTAATATTGATGCAGGTGGTTGAAATATAGTATTGTTGCAGTTAAGTAGTTCGGTTGTAGGTGTTATTGTTTGTATTGTTGTCATTAAATTGATAAGGGTTTAATGCAGCGAATAATACAATGATTATTCCAGATATTGCGGTAAGAATTAGAATAATAATAGATATTTCAATTTGTGTTCTTTAAGAAGTATAATGGTTAAGCCTACTGCAAATATAATTGCAATTAAGATTATGATTAATATTTTTCGGGTTCATTCATTAACAATGGTAAAAGTATAATATTTAGTTCCAAGTAGAATATCCTTCATTTTCAGATTGTTGAGGTGAGTTTACGTATTGAAATTTTGTTTTCCTTCCAGGTCTAGAGTGTTGTGGTTGGTTTGGTAATCCAGTTCCTATTGCAGTGAATTGTTGTCAATTTTGCAATTGTGTTGCTAATTGTTGTATTTGTTCTGGGTTAAGATTGTTGTTTGGTGGTTGTGTGAATGGTATCTAACTTTTGTATTGTTTCTTTCTTTTGTTTATTCGTTTAATACAGATAATAAGGGTTGTTATGATTGTTGTTAATATGGTTAATATTGCTTCTAATATTTCAATGATTGTTACTAGGTTATTGTTTGAATTATTTGTTTGTGTAGGTGTGACTATTACAATAGATAGTTGGGCATTTGTAATGGATAATGGAGTTAGAATTGATTGTGTTGAATTTGTAGATAATATGTAGATGATACAATTGTAGTTGTTGAGTTTGGTGTTATTGCGATTGAGATTACAATCTGTGCTAATGTGATTCTTAAGAACAATGTGAGTATTGTCAAAATAAATAATAGAATTCGTATATTCATGTAAAATAGTTTCACTTGTATTGTTTCCAATAATATAGTGTCGTCAAAGGTGATCTGTCTCTTAGTTTACTGTTGAGCGTATTAGTCTCTTTATTACTAATAGTTCTTCGTTATTGGGGTTCAATCTGGTAAGTATATATTACTTAACAAGTTACTTGGTATTACACATTCAAATATGATAAATAATAGTTTCTTTGTTATAATAAGTTTCTTTATTAATAAAATATGAATCGGTTATAATATATGTATACAGGTTTTATAATTCAATAGAGTAGTTTAAGCTTTCGATAAATATAATGTTCAGCTATTATAGCTGTTATTATTTGTCGCGTAGCTTTCCTTATTACGGCGTAATCGTCGATCTTACTATGTAACTTTACTCACTTGGCAGATATGCGAAGACTAGAGTATTGTACCAGATACTACCACCTATAATGTATTCACACAGGTATACAATTTATTCACTAAGCACGAAGCTTATTCACGAAGCGAAACTAAGATTATTCACGAAGAATCAAAGCTCGCATCTCCCCTATTTGGATCGATGCCTTATATATTATTACTAATACATATTTATTACTACATTATTTATGCAATCACATATTAATTACTAATCGCTATTAATTGCTACATTGTTCATGCGATACTAATCGCTTCTATTACTACATTGTTTATGCAATTCTATTTTTAGACATCGGGATCATGCATATCCCCGATCACAATATTCGATCACGTACCCGATCACCAGTCACATGGGTACCGCTACAAGTACATGAGGCATTAAGAAACACCATGACACAAGTAATCATGTTTTATCACTTTACAGTGTGCCTCAATCAACATATTAGTTTTGCTAAAAGGAATTGAAGAATAATTATTTCTTGCCCATAAATTCCAACAATCTTTAATATACCATGAAAATAAAAATAATTCCAGAGTCTTGGATTGTTTAATTAAAAACATAATTGATATATTTCATAGACAGCCTTTTTCCATATTTCTTCTTTTGTTAAAAAATTTTTATTATGATTTATTGGAATTAGTGAATATAAATTAAAGTGAAATTCAATTAAATCTAAAACTTGTTTTTGATATTGTACAGGACAAATAACTCCAGTATGATTTGTTTAAGAAACAAAATTTGAATCAATAAATGGAAATTGCTGAAAATCTATAATTGTAAATGAATTATATCGTTCTTGTTTTTTACTTGATTTCATTTTTGTAAGTATAGCTTTTTTTAAATGCCAGAGACACAATTGAATATTTTTATTTTGCCATATATTTTTTATTGCATTGATTATAGCAAAATCTTTATTAGTAAATATAAAATCAGACACAAGGCCAAGAATTTGAAATTTTAATAAAAATTGTGTTAAAATTTCTGATTTAGATAGTTCTAATTCATTATTAGCATGAAAATCTAAAATTAAATAACCCAAAGCAAATTCTTTTCCTTGATATTCTCCAATAATACCATATAACTCAAAATGGCCCTTTGATGTTTTATATGTTGCATCGATATGGATTTCTTTAACATTTTTTAGATTTTGAAAATTTGGTGTTGAAAAAGCAATTGCAGTCAAAGTATCATTATTAATTGACATTAATAATTGACAATTTTGATATTGTTCTTGAAGTAAAAGTATAGCTGAATTAATAAGATTTTTATATTTTTGATACTTTGATTGAATTGAAATACTCCACCGATAATAAATTTGTTTAGATGTAACATTTTTCAAGTCAAAATGTGCTGATAAATGGGAATGAAGTTGCAAGTTGTATTTTAGTAATTATTTCTTTTGGAACACTAGTAGAAATAATAGGTTGCTCATGATAAAATAAATGTTTACTCTTAATATAAGCTTTAGAATCAATCATATTAACACGAATAGTAATTTGCCCATTATATTTGAATCTTATCATACGTTTTCTATTAGAATCTTTGAAATCATTTAAAATTGCAGATTGACTACAATGATAATAAATTGGGATCTTTGCTAACAAAATGAGCTTCCAAGGCTATGTTGATTTTGTGAAAAAAATTAAATTTGCTAGCTATCTAGCAATCCAATTTGAATGAATTTTTTTTATTTTGTAAATCTCAATAGAATATACAAATTAAAAAAAAATTCATTCAAATTGAATAACTAGATAGCTGGCAATTTTAATTTTTATTCACAAAATCAACATAGCCTCAGAGGGTCATTTTGTTAGCAAAGATCCCAATTGTTCCTTTTTGATCAGGAAAACAAGTTGAATAATTGGTTTTCCAAGAACTATAAATTTTAAATTTTAAAATTTTAAAATTTTTAATTTATAAAAATTATAATTTAAATAAAATTTAAACCTTCCATTTATAACCATCGCTATTTTTAATTATTTCATGTAACTTTCTAGCAACTTGAGAAACTGAATTCATTTCTTCATTAATATCAAACAAGATATTTAATTCAAATTCTTTATTTTCGTCACTAGCAACAAACACTTCAATAAATTGTGACAATTGATCAATATTAATTTTGACTAATTCAGTATCAAGATCGTTATTGCCATATTCATTACTTTGCGAAACTTTTTTTAATTTTTGAATTTCATGATTTTTGTTATTTTGTTTATACAAACATTGAACACAAGTTTTTGATAACTTATTTTTAATTTTTTTAAAAGCAGTTTCGGGTAAATCATTAATGCAACTACTACAATTTGGCATTGTAAACTTGAATAACAAAAAAATTTTCTTATTACAATTCAAATATTAATAAGCATTATCAAAAAAAATCAATAACGTAATTACAGATCAAATATTAATCAAATTTTATTTAATTAATAAGAATCATCAAAAAAATCAATAACGTAATTACAGAATAACAAATAAATTGGAAGTATTGGCGGAGTGCGGAAAATTTTGGGGAGGTCGCTGTATGAGTTAATGCTGAGATGAATTATGTTGATCATGGGCCAGAACAATTTTATGCCGGGAATTAAACAGTTAATACAATTAAACGATTTAAGCGGTCTATAATAATATTAAAACTTACCCTATGTACTGTATGATTTAATTGTGCTATTATTGCTGGATTGGATTCCTTTGACTGTATTGGAAGAGAAGTGAACTTACAGGTTATCTATGATTCTACGCGTGCATATTTGTGGGTCACATAAGTCAAAAATCAAAAAGATTTTGTCAATTATTTACATGGGCATTTATTGTATCTTGGAATGTGAAACAAATGTGTTGAATCAATGAATATCGAGTGCATACTGGGAGAAAGTTTCCCAAATGTCTGCAGCATATTGGCAGCACATTTGTAAGATAACAGGAGGTAGATCAATATCGGTAACATAACAGCACAATATTGGGATACACTGATATCTTACTCTTAGCACTCTGGGCCTAAAAGTAAGTTACTGGGGTTTCTCAATATTTTGCTGATATCGATCTACCTCCCGATATCTTACCATATGCTGCTTATATTCAGCAGGTATTTGGCGGATCTATGACAGACTAACGGGTACATATCGGGAAACTTTCTCCCGGTATGCACCCGATATTCATTGATTCAACCTGTGTATGGTCTGCGAGCAATAGTAATTTTGCAGATAATTAATATAATAATTATATTAAATCTTTGACAAATTGTTACGACTTCTACTATTTTATTCTTACGTATATTATTCTTTCAGAATTCTTGCTTCATTTTCATATGGAAAACACAAAAAAGAGGAAATATTAGTTGAGATTGAAAAATGGATACAAATTGAAGTACATATTTATTTTCAATGATTGTGGATCGAATTATAATCACTTTTTCAAAAAGGATTACATTAACCATTAAATTTACTTCTTAACACTATGTTCATCAATAACAATTTTATGGCTAAATGGAATCATGCAATCAAGTAATCTTTACATTTTTATTCTCAAAATGACTGGTGATTATCTGAAATATATGACCGACATTCCATAATTGACCACTGAGACGATGAATAAGATTATGGAAATCTTCAATATTAGCATACAAGAATCTTTATTTCATAAATTCATTTTATTTCCGAATTATTTAGTTCGAAAACGCGTCAAGTTGTTTTGAAGGTGCTAGCTATTCTCAGTCATAGTACTTTGTTTACTTTTGTGCTGTGAGTTTTAATTATTTAACAATTATTTCATAACTGCTCAGTCTCTCTGTGTTACAGTATTATTTTGTTGGTACCATACAATAACAAATGGTTATGTTAACAGAGTTTAATCTAATTAGAAGGGTAAGATAATTGCAGGTAATAAAGATTCACTTTGCTAGGATTATATTAATTGCCAAAATGAGATACATACCAAAAATACCGTTTTCCTCCAAATTAAGCACCCTAGCCTGCATTATAAAAAATTTGGCCTGAATTATAACTATCTTGGCCAACATTGCGTGTAAAAAAGGGGTGCTTATTTTCAGAGGAATACAGTAGTATCAATTATGGATCACGCTTTGTTAAGATTGTGAAAAAATTACTGAAGTGACATTTATACACATGTTAAGAAAGAACAGTAATCTATGTTTCAATATGAACTATTGATATCTTTAGCGGCTTAAAGAAGATTGTTAATAAATTATCAATTGAAAAAAGGCCAAAAAAAAAAAAAAATACCAGAAGGCTTCTAACGTATTTTTGTCACTTGCATTTGTATTGTTTTGAACTAAAGGCTATTTGTCCGTCATTTATGTAATTCGTAATTTACATTAGCCCAAACACGTGAGTTGTTTCAATGACATGCATGTTATTTTTGGATGCAATTTACGAAATAACGCTCATGAACGTTAATACATTTTCCCTTAATCGTTAATCACTTATTTCTGATTTACTTTTTTTAAATTGAAATTGTGACTCGTTGAGAAAATTTTAGCTGGTACTATTAGATTAACTATTCCGGATCTTAAGCATCCACAGATAGTTTCGTTATGGGCCGGGCTTATCATGGTGCAATGACTAATTGCCCTTATTTTTTTTGTGCCCCCAGCTAAAATACCCGGGTATTTTACCTGATAAAAAATTTACCAAGTGATTTTTTCGACCGATCCGATTAAGGGTGTTCTCAAGCACCTCACTAAATGGATCAGAAGTAAAATTAAATTAACCAAGTGAGTTACCATTTCGATGAACAAATTAGCGAGACACAACCCACCTTTTTTCTTCAAAAATTTACCATTGATAAAGGTCGCTCAAGCATTACTTTTACATTTTTTACATATCAAACA